CCTCCAGAGAAATTCAATTTTCTTAAAAGTGTCTCTCACGTTCTAATGTCTTCCATTCACTTAATTTTCCTTTTGATTATCCAACTCAATCCTCTCCTCCCATTTTTTGTTGGCAACCTCTGTGAGAATCAAGCTCTCATTTAACTTTTTTTTATTGTTTTATTATTTTAACCCAAGCACTGCAAATCTAACTTAAATACTACGCATGCATTTTGTCTATCAACATAATGAACTATAAACCAATATATTAGTACTAGTTCATCTGATTTATGTACTTCCTTTATGTACTTCTTGAAGAATCAGTTATTTCACAATGGATAATGACCCCAAAATATGTTATTCAAGTATATACAAGACTAAAAAGATATGGGTAATAACTTAATTCCTTGGCATGACAGACAACTTATCTTTAAAAAAAAGAACCGCATCATCTAGAACAGCGACCCCGAACCTTTTGAATACTAGGGACTGGTTCCCTGGAGAGAGGTTTTTCCGCGGACCGGAGGGGGTGTGGTTTCATGTGCTGCCTGAATCCCGCAGATGGGGCTTCGTTTGTTTGCACAACCCAGTTTCTGGCATGCCATGGACCGATGCTGGTCCAGAGACTGGAGTTTGGGGACCTCTAATGTAGGACAAAGATATGTGACTGCAAATATCCAGGCAACCAATAGGAAGAAGCAAAGAGGTCTGTGTTGTGACTCTTTTGCCTGGATTTTTCCAGCCCAGAAAAATGGTAGCTCCATGACGGTGGTGGTGGTGGTGATGATGATGAAGGTAGTGATAAATCTGTGATCTGCAGTTGAAAGCAACTATATTTAGCAAATGTAGGACATGTTTTCAGATCATAATCACAGAAACTTTGAGTCTGATCAAAACAGACTCAACTGAACAGTGAATTTCAAAATCTCAAATGTCAACAAGAGATCCGAGATTGATGTTCAAATTCCTTAAAAATGCAGGCTGATGAAAAATGTATTTCGTGATAGAGAGCCGATTCTGCTGTGCCACCTGCTTTGTGGAACATGATTCCCTGGAGATGAGATTGGCCTTGAGTCTGTTGGTTTATTGTAAGACTCTGAAGACAGGCATTGGGATTCAGGAGTGTAATGGAGTCGGTACAGTGGTTGTTATGAAGAATGAGTTTATTTTAGCTGTTTTATAGATCTTATGTTTTTAATATGCTTTTATATTTTTTTCCTCATTTTTAAATTGTATTGTTCTTTTTGTTGCTTTCGTTTTTGTTTCAATTTTTTGTAAGCTGTCCACTGTAAGCTGAGATGGGTGGCTATATAAATTTAGGTAATATATAAACTGATGCACACCTAAACTGTTTAAGAACAGTTCCTTTGCTTCGAGAATAAAAAAAGGTGTTGATATATGAAATTATAAATGAAAAAGAATAGAAACTATAGTACACAATTCTATATTTCTCTATTAATTAATTTACATCTCATTTTTTCAGTCTGAGTACTAGAGGTTTCCAAAGGAAAGAAAAACAAAAATTTGATTTTGCATTGCTAGAAGAGAGAACGCGATTAAGCAATTAATCTTCCATTACACATTGATTTTTGGGATAATTAATTTAAAAAGTGTTAAGAGAATGTACAACAAATACATAGAAAATTGCCACATTACTTTTAGCTAGACAAATTCTTCTTCCTTTCTATAGTTTTATATATGTCTAGATTTAGGGGGAAACCTCAACTCTTTCCACAAAAAAACCCCCAATATGAATAATATTGGTAGAAAAAAAGTCACAATAATTATCTTACTTTCTCATACATAAGTTGTTACAATACTTATCTTATTTATACTGTATGTATGCCTAGCAAATACTACACTTTAAGATCATTAATATTCTCTCAAAAATTGAAATTTGCTCTGTAAAATAAAACAAGTAACAAAAACACAAATACTATCATCACATTTACAATTCAAAAATATACCAGAAAAAAATTTGCAAATTTACATTTGTGATTTTGTAGAAAGTTATTCATGCCCTGTACTATAAGAGTTAAAATAACACTTCATTCTGCAATATGTTTTCCAATTCCCACAAATCAACATAGACTCAGCAAAGCTTAAATTGTGTTTAGCTTACTTATGTCCATGAATTCTCTTATAAAAAAGAATAACTCGTGCCAATGGAATCACAAGCTGAAATGGAGAATAGGGAACAAGAAAAAGTTGGTTTCACTGCCATCATTTACAAAGAAAAAAAAGTCTCAAATATAAATGTCATCCCATGTCAAAAATTAAAAAAAAGCAAAGAACCTCTTCCTACCCGTAAACATACATTTTTAAAGGGCTTTAGGAACCTTCCATCATCTAGTGTTTCTGGAATACAGCAAATTTAGGCACATGACTAAATTGTAGCAGGCACCTGCCAATTTTTGTTCACCATAAATCAACATTTGACCAACTGTTACATGTATCTCTATCAAATTTTAAAAAAACAACTTCTGTAGAAAAATCTGGAAGAAAATGACAACTTGAGATGAATGCAGACATACTTTTATAGAACTAAATTATAGAATTACCCAGTGTTTTCCCTTTTCATTCTTTGGAGAAACCTAGAATTAAGAATATAATTATAACTACAAAACAGGCTAAGAATTTCAACTAATATACTCTGAGTAATGTTGAGCTATGGGTTTGGAAGCCTTTTGATGTCAGAGATGCTCCACCTTTTGAGTCCAGACAATGTGACACTTCCCCATGCAGAAGAGGTTTATAACTTGAGGGATCCTCTGGGCTCACAGGACCAACTTGAAGAGCAGGTGGCAGTTGTGACTTGGGAAAATCTTCACCTTCTGCTCTAGTTAAGAGCCTTTTCTATCTGCTTATAGCCACAAATGATTTAATCAGCTCTTGTTAGGATTAGTACCACAAAGCTCTTACAAAAACCTTACCTAGTCTAAAATGCAATGGCTCATCAAGTGATGAAGTTCTACATCATCTTAGGGAACACAGGGACAAGCCCTCTCAACCACTTTCTTCCTTTTGGGGCAATACTGTTCTCCCTAATATCAGGTTTATTCGTATTCTAAGCCAAAATATGAAATCCTGACTTTTCATTAGTGCATTCTGTGAGCTCAGCCAGTCTTGTTTGTGAACCATGGCTGTAGATTAGCATTATATACAGGTAGTCCTCGGGTACAACAGCACCTTGGGTCCAGATTATTGTCACTAAATATTGTAGTTGTAAAGCAAGGTATTGCATGGCTTAGCAAAGTCAATCTAGGCAGTCCCAGTTGTTATTCTAACTCCAGGACACATAGGTCATTAAGTGGGAAGGAAAGGGAATCCCAGGTAAGAAGCCCCCCTCCCCCATTGCAACCAGGAGGTGGGGGAGGCCCTGGGGGGCCCAGCATAGGCTATCTGTAAATTGAGGGTGGGAGCGATACAGGTTTAGCACAAATTCAGAAAGACTGGGGGAAAAGAGTGTGGGCTGCATGGGTTTATGTGTGGAAATGCAGGGGAGCCTGGAAAAGAGGGCATGGTATGCATGTGCATGAGTGCAGGGAGGTCAAGGGTAAAGGTGCTGGTGGGTGCATATATTTGCGCAAGTGGAGGAAGGCCCAAAGAAGGAGGATGCTGGTGGGTGTATGTGCGTGAAAGAGAGTGCCTGCAGTAAGCCAGCAGAGAAAGTCGGCAACAGCAATCATGTGACTGCAGATGCTTGCAATGGGTCATAAGGAGCCTGAGTGGCACAGCAGACTAATGCTACTGTTAAAGGTAGTATTTGGCTTCCAGCTGCCTGCAATTACTGCGAGTTCAATTCTCACCAGGCTCAAGGTTGACTCAGTCTTCCATCCTTTCTAAGGTAGATAAAATGAGGACCCGGTTTGTGGGGGCAATAAGCTGACTTTGTATAAAATATACAAAAGTATGAAGGCTATTGCTTAACGCCTTGTAAGCCACCCTGAGTCTCCAGAGAAGGGCGGCATATAAATAAATAAATAAATAAAAGTGCGGGCTGGTTGCCAAGTATACGGATTTTGGTCATGTTGCTGCGGGCTAGAACTTTGAGAACCAGTTGTCAATCCCTTTGTTCTATGCCATCATAACTTAAAACAGTTGCTGAATAAATTCAAGAATTGCCTGTTGAGTTTGGAATTGGATTCCATATTTACTTAATCATAATTAAGGAAATCATGGTTAGCACTACAACTGGATCCAACCCCTGATTTATCTCTATTGAAAAAGAAAGCACATTTCTAAATCAACAGTACTGACTTATTTCATCTGACAAGGACATTTCTTATTACAAAGAATTTCAAACAACCTTTCTTAGATAGTAAGATATGTGGAAGCAATCTGTTATGGTACAGAATACAATAAAATTTAAATTCACTGAAATAAAATGCAATAGATGGTAAAATGTATTCTGTTTTTTTTTAAATATAACTTTGTTCGAATTAATACTCAGTACACACAAGATAGCTATCAGTTTGAAAAGTATACTCATGATCTACAGATGTCCTAGTCATTATTATCTTGAGATTTGATAATATATTACTAACATCAAATTATTGCAAACACAGTTCAAATTATGAAACGGAGATTAAATACTCAAATTATTTTTGGGGAAAAAATAGAATCAGCTTTTAGAAAATAAATCAGTAAAACATGTAAAACTCAGATTTAATTGATCTAACAGAGACCTCTAGTGGTAGGAACATGATTATACTATTTGTAATTTTAGAAAAAACAACACTGTAACAAATGTCTAGGGTTCTCCCAAAGGTGTTTTTTTTCAAGAGGCACCTGGACTTTCTAATTTTTCTTTGAAGATGTTTCGCTTCTTCCAATCCCTCTTCAAAATCCACATTCAATATTTTTCCTAAGCATGTGGTTTCCTTAGACCATAGATTTCCATATACAAACAACAAAGGTTTGTTCAACATATTTTGTTATCAATCTTATATATTACTATAATTAGATCATTGTAACAGAGTTTGATTAAATGGATATGTGGACACGATATGTGCACTTACCTTGCACACAGTCTCTGCATCCCAAGGCAAAATAGTCTTCAAATCAATTATTTCACAGGAGACTCCTAATTTTTCTTGTGCCATAACTGCTACCTCTTTTATGACATGAACCTAAACATTAGGAGAAAGCATGCAATGAACTTTAAATCTCATAAATTTCAACAAAATCTAAGTCTCACTAACATTCTGGTTCTAATTCTATCTATTTGGGTCTTATTTAATTTCCATCACTTTCGTTAGAAGAATATTCTAGAATATTTACATGGACGCATAATGGAGGACCGAACAAAACAGAAATATCTGATGAAGTGATCACTTCAGATAGCAACACTATCCAGATGAACATGGCAATAAAGTGTTAATGGTAAAATAAGTATTAGGAAGTAATAGTAGGAACTAGTAACAAGTATCAAATCCTAACAAATCTTACTCACCTGAGTACCCCAAGCCACTAAAGTTACATCGCTTCCATCCTGAAGCACTTCTGCTTGAGACAAAGGGATGGAGTAAGGCTCCACAGGGACTTGTTCCACTGAATAAAAAGAAAGCAATGAAGTTTATAATTTGAGTATCTAGAACAGAAATACGGAACTACAACTTCTAGCAGGCCCAATTAGCGTGTATGTAGTTGAAGGATGCTGGCAAAATCTGAAGGGACAGCATGTTTTCCATTCCTTCGGGAAGGTATCTAAATTTAAAGCCATAGCTGTAACAGAACTCACAAGGGAAGTTCCATTCTGAAGAATCAGAAATCCAGTGGCAACATATGAAGATAAAAATTAATTCACTTGTGTCAATGTGCAATTTATTATCAATTGAAGCTATGAGTGCAGAAAATAAAAAATAAATCCTGGAGACATAATTTAGGAATTTCCTTTGAATCAGAAAACTACTTCTAGCAGAACAACATATGATTTACTGAAAAACTTAAACCACAATTAAAAGTTGGATGAAATCCAAGTTTTGGGGGAAAAGGAAACAATAACTAAAACTCGCTACAAATTTGGCTGACAAGTGCTCTTATAAACCAAAAAAATCTGTTTGTATTCACAATTATTCGGATATGTTGCAGTAAAAACCAAACAAAATTAAATATACAGATAATCCAACAAGATCCCATTTTCACAAGCACAATTGGCCTTCTCTATGACTGTATTATAGTTCAGCCTGAATAAGGGCGTCACAATAACAAGAAATTAAGCATATGCATGATATGTACGAATATGACAATTTATGAATGGGGGTACAGATCTAACAGCAATGGCAGAAGGCCAGCAGTGATGGGGAAGCTGTCTAACATAGTGCCCTATTTCTGATTAGTTATCTGCTGAACATTTATGTACATTCAAGAGATGGATACAGAAATGTATCTACAAAAATGTATCCACAGAAACAACTTCCTCCAATTTGATAGTTTTTAAAAGCCAGTACCAACTGTCAACTGAATTATATGCTTCCCCTCCTCTCAACGTCATTCTACTATAGAAGAGGTATTCCTCCAACTAGTTGTTTCTTGGGGCTCACATACTAAACTTTCTCAGTCAAAACATTTTACGGCAATTTCCTAATCTTTGGAGGTGTTTTTCAGGGATGCAATGGTTGGATCAAATTTTCACTGAACCGCCATACTCTATTTACTATTCAGGAACCAAAACTAGTTTAACTTGGGTTAAAGTACAAAATTATTTGAGTTTCCACTCTTCAGAAATCGAGGAAATGGGAAATGAGATCAAGATCTTATATTTTATCTAGTACAGTCTACAAAGATTGTGTTTATTCTTTGTATGTCATAAGTTTACAAATTGAAGTCCCTGTACTCAGAATCTGCATCCTTCTTTCAAGTCAATCTTGGGCTTGGAGGGACATATCCAGTCAGACTTCAAGAAGTGAATTTCCCAAATCCCTTGATGGAATTCCCTGATGAGATTATGCCTTATTGCATAATTGCATTTTATGAAAGCGCACAAGAGTTGGCATTTAAAACTCCACTCCCTATACTTGTACAATTCATCCACAATTCATCCCACCTTAACCATACTGACTTCATATAGTATAAGGTCACTATGAAGCATACTGATGTATATCCCAATATACTAACATTTCTGCTATCATGGTAAATCCGTAGACAACCTATTTCTTCGTTGTAAGCATTAAGAATGTAATTGTCACTCAGTCTCTTGATACAGTAAAGCTATAGGAGACAATTAATAATCTTTGGGAAAAAGCCTATTCATATATTGAAGAAAATGTCCTGTTTAAAAAATATTAAATTGGCAAATATTATAAAAAGCAACCATTGCAAGATTCTAGTTCTTACTATGAAAAGCTGTTAGTAAATGCACTAGCTTGTTTGCTAGTTTTAGAATGTTTAGAAAAAGTTACTTTTTTCTAACTTTCACATAATTTACCTTAAGTGTTTTCAATTGTTTTACATTTGCTATTTTTCTTAAACTTGCTTGCTTCGCATATTTTGTGTATCTTCTATTTAGACTAACATTCTCACCATTTGGAAACATTATAAAGGCTTGCATTTATAATTGTCATTTTCATTCAGGTCTTTAAATATTTTGTGAACACTTAACCATAAATATAGATATATAGCTACAGTTATATAGATATATAGGCATATAAATATAGGAAATATAGGAAACAGAAAATATTTTATATTTCATTTATACTAATAAATGTTATTATTCGGATACATAAATCTTTATCCTGATACGTTAACTGTGCTGCAACTGCAAGATATTCATTCACAGATACTTAGATAAAGACAACTGCTAATTCATGCATGTTGCAGTATAGGAGTTTTAATTCTATTAAACCTTAATTGTAGTAGAAAAACATGTGTATATCTTGTGACAGGATATTTTGAACACTGATTGAAAAACTGGTTGTTTTTAATCTTACTTGCCATGTCACTATAACAACCACTGATGCAAATCATTTATTTCTATACTATTTATGTCATAAAAGGTGGAATTAAATGAAGCTGAAAAGGTCATAAGAACAAATTCTCCGCAAGAAATTTAAACCTGATAATGTCAAGATGACTCATTTTTTCCTCTAAGTACCACTATTTACTTTTGAATCATTGAACAGTTCATTTGAAAACCCTCTATTATTTAAAGTTTAATTTCTGAAAAACAACAGTCATGTTTGAATAGAACAGTTTCTCAATACCCTAAATTTGTGCTAAAATCATAAGAATGTCCTTATAATGTAAGTTACCTGTCTTACATAAATCAGTACTGTTCAACAATAAAATCCCACAGCTATTTAAGGAGGTCAGAAATATATGCACCTTGCCATAATTTCTATATCTCACAAATTAGGGAAAGAATTTTGGTTGAATGCAGATTCTGCTTAACTCAATGAAACCAACTATAAATTATCAGTTATGACTACATGAGCTATTATAACTTTGGGGGGATTCAGTTTTATTTTCTTCTTTCATTTGACAGAAGTTAGGGATATGAAGAATATTCAAAAAATGAATCTTTCCATGCACAAAATAGCTATTTTTTGGTAGTCAATAATCAAACCAAAATTGGAGTGGAATGGTTTGTTCGTGCATTGAACAAAACTATTTTCATTTTGGTAGCAATGGTATGGGGAAAAAGAAGACAAGGAAAAAACAACCAAGTCATCAGAAGTTGAAAGGAGACACAGGAGAAAGGGAAGTTGCTTATAAGGCTGGGGAGTTGGTGGGATAAGCTGCACTGGACACTGAAGGGAGGCAGGGGACAGTTCATATCTGAATTGAGATTCCATGCTTGTTTGTAGCCCACAGTACAACAATGATTTTATAGTGCTAGAAAATGCACTGCAATATTTGACCAACACTAAATATAGTGAGGAGAACTCTTCAATCAACAGGATGGTCAATTATTAGATATGGTTAGTAATTCTGCAGTGAGCAATTTATGATTGAATTAGATGATACACTGTCTGTTCAACTCATGTATCCTATGTTTCTACCATCATGTGAATAAATAAGATGTAGGTTATATTTTTTTACCTTGAATACAATGAGAAAAAATTTACCTGCTGCTCTGTACATTATTTTAGGCTCAAAGAATATGCAAGGGTTTTTATCTTCTATACATGACAATAACAGTCCCTTCGCTTCAATAGGTCCTCTTGGAACAACAATCTTCAAGAAAATGAATACATAAACAAGTTAGAGAGTATCTTGACTAGGAAAAATATCAAAAGTAAAAAATAAACATTGTTCCAAGGGATAATTTCCTATTTCAAATTATCCCATTATGACAGTGAAAAGATGCTAAATGAATGGCAAGGACAAATAATTTTATCTGGTTAAATAAATGACTAGGCATTAAAGAGTTTTTAAACTGAATAAGAAAAAGGGAGATTGGTGGCACCAAATTATACTATCAGGATAATTATTCAACCTGGATCACAGATTCAGTTAGCACTATACACATGGATTACATCTATGGAAGAAGTAGTATGTGCATATCTATCTATCTATCTATCTATCTATCTATCTATCTATCATATCAATCAGCTCCTATTAAAATATGATTCAGAGATCAAACATGTCAATGTCTGTATGATTAAATAGATGCAGAATTTAAGCAGTGTAACTGACATGCAAAAATGGGAATATCAATAAAAATGAATATCAACTTTGGGGTGAATAATATACTTAGAGAAAATGGGTACAAAATGTTCTATTGTTCCAATGATGATTACTAAAATAGATAACAAATATTGAAATAAAATATAAAAATATAAAAATCAAGATGGAATCATAAATCGTATCTAGTGGCAAAGTCAAAAAACTCAGTTGGCACTGGAAAATAAACTACTATCGGATGCAACAAGTTTTAAATGTTGGTTTTCCTTTTCCATTGGTCATTTTTTCATTATTAGCAAACATTATATACTTACAAAATACACTCTGATTTTATATATGAAAACTGGTATCAGAATACTTTATACTTCTTACTGGAAATCACATCTACTCTTTCATTAGAGGAATGACAGCTGAAACTATGGGAACACTAATCAATATGAAAAATAACTTCATATATGAAAAAAAAAAAGTCTGATGGTAATTTCAATTTAACCCAGAAATCATTTATGAATAATTCTGTACATAGCTTGCTACCACATGCAAGATTTGAATTTCCTTAAAATAAGATGTTTAATCTCTTTAACCAGAGTCATTCACTACTTAGCTATTCTTTAACATATGATTTTAAAAATAGATTGAAGGTATTAAACTGACACACAATTATATTTGTTGTAATCCAAGTTGATAAGCAAGCATAAAACCAAGATTGTTTTTCTTCCAAGGGGATTATTTTATAAATACATAACGTTTAATTTTACCTTGTGGTGTATTATTCTGCAAATTTTCCTGTGTGGTATTTGTATTCCATAATTTCCTTGTATCTTTTTTAATATAAAAAACTTTTTATATGTAACCTTTTATATTTAAAAAGAATTATTAGAACACTCTAAAAGACTATCTAATAAATGATTATACCTTCAATCCTGGACAGTGAGCAAAAAAGGATTCTGGGGACTGAGAGTGGTACAATGCACCATGACCCACACATCCCCACGGCGCTCTTATTGTAAGGCTTCCACAGTTAAAGAGATCTCCAGAACGGTATCGATATTTTGCTGCCTCATTAACAATCTGAAGAAATATAGAGATATATTTAACATTACATGTGGTTATCAAGACATATTCATGCAGTTAAAGCACATTCATGTTCTACTAGAACCGTAATGGCGCTGTCAGGGTTCCAAGTAACACCCCCAACGAAAGAAAACTCCGAGGATTGAAGTTCCTCAAAGTTCCATTTTATTAGAGATGTCATATTGGCACATCTGGGAAAACACGAATCTGAAAGCTTCCAGGTTTTCCCCACCCAGAAGAAAGTCCAAGTCCCTGCCCAGCATCCACATGTCCATCACATGTCCATCACATGGTCCAATCTACGGGACCACCTGCTACCACCAATAGCCTCCCACCGACCAGTACGCTCCCATAGAGAGGGGTTCCTCCAGGTGCCGTCGGCCAAATAATGTCGACTGGCGGCTCCCAGGGGGAGAGCCCTCTCTGTGGGGGCACTTACTATCTGGAATGAACTCCCCCCGGAGATACGGAGGATCCCGGATCTGCGTACCTTCCGTTGCGCGCTCAAGACTTTATTTCATTTTTTTATTTTATTTTATTATTACTTTTAACATTTTATATTTTAAATTACTAACATTACAAACAACATATACAATATTTCACCCTGTGCTATACATAAGAAAGGAAGATTTGGTTCTTCGGATATATCCTCATGATCGCCAAAATCCACGTTCTCGGGGTACAGGTACCGAAGCATCCAATTTTCCCAGCGCATAGTCCACAAATGGTTTCCAAATTTTCCAGAAAATGTCTTCTTTATAGACACCATTTCTAATTTTAATATCACATGTCATTTTATCATTTAAAGCTAATTTCCACATTTCACAATACCATTCTTCTATTCTAAAATTCACATCTAATTTCCAATATCTGGCTATTATAATTCTACCCATTATAATCATAATTCTAATCAATTCTTTCTCATATTTTGTTGGTTCTATTTCCTTAATTATCAACAGTAATATAGTTTCTGGTCTCAGTATTATTGCTTTCCCCATCATTTCAAATATCATTTCCTCCAATTGTTGCCAAAACTTTTTAACTTTATCACATTTGTACCACATATGTTCATAAGTCCCTAATTCCATATCACATCTCCAACATTGTTTACTAATTTTTTTATCCATCAATGACAATCTTAATGGAGTCAAATACCATTTCCAAACAACCTTATAATTATGCTCTTTAATCCTTACAGATAAAGTCTTCATAATTCTACTCTTCCAATTCACGTTCCAATCTAAATCTGATATTTTAATATTAAGTTCTTTTTCCCAATTCATCTTCATCACCCTTTGTGGTTTTCCATCAAAATTTATAATCTTATATATCTTACTAACGAGTCCCTTTAGCCCAATTTCATCTTTCATAATTTGGAATACTAAATATTCAAATTCAGTTTTACTTCTACTTATCGAACAATTGTCCCTTACCTTCTTAGTCCATTTTTCTATCTGTATTTTTTCAAACCAGCCTAAACCCAATTTTTCAATGATTTCTTTTTTCCTCCTTTCATTTTCTGAAGTTTTTAACCAATCTATTATAGTTTGTATATTTTCATCTTCCATTACCCTATCACGACTTATATTAGTTTTAATCGGCCAATTTTCAATTGTCTTCCCTAAGAAAATTATATCTGGAATTAAAATTTTAACAAATTTGTTCCAAATTTTACTCAGTCCCTTTAACCAATAGCTATTAATTACACATTTTGATTTTGCTTTATCTAAAAACCATGTTGAGCCAAATCTCTTGATGTCCTTTAATTCTAAATCTTAAGACTTTCTTATTTCATCAAGCTGGCCTGACCTAAGTCTTTCCCCTTTTTAAATGAAAATTTTAAATTTGTTTTTAAATTATTGGGGTTTTAAATTTGTTCAGCCAAATTATTTAATTCATTTTATTTTAAATTTTGTATTTATATGTTTTATTCTATGGCTGTTCACCGCCCTGAGTCCTTCGGGAATAGGGCGGTATATAAATTCAATAAAATACAAAAAAATACAAATACAAAATACAATCAAGATACCATCCTAACTGGAGATGCCTCCCAGTTCCAGCCCTCCAGGTGCAGGGCAAGATATCCTAGACTCTCTGAGAAAGGAATGTCTATCTATCACCCATGCTCCATACAATCCCCTCTCCCAGTTTCCCACAGTAGTAAATGGCCTGAAGGCCCAATGCAAAAGATTGCTTCCAGGCCTGACAGGTATTTGTTAGAATGCAGTACTTCAGACTACTTCTGCTGACTTCGGCAGTTCAAGTCTCACTGGGTCCAAGTTGACTCAGCCTTCCATCCTTTAAGTGGGTAAAATGAGGACCCGGATTGTTGGGGGCAACAGGCTGATACTGTAAACTGCTTAGAGAAGGCTGTAAAGCACTGTGAAGCAGTATATAAGTCTAAGTGCTATTGCTATTATAGATTATGCAGAAACAAGAGGCAAATTTTGAAATTATGGATATTATCAACAGAAGTGTAAAGAAACTAATATGAGACAAGAGCATTATGTGCACAGCTTGGAGTTGTACAAAATAAAAGAAGGAAATCAAAATAACGATAATAATATGCAAATTAGAGCCTTACGTGGAATAAAGATGCCAGATGTACAAACTAGCTGTAAAAAAGGAGCACAAGCCATGATTTCTGGTGCAATCTGGATAAATGAGAAAGCCAAAGAATACCAAAAAAGATGTCATTGCTTCATTGATTACAGAAAGTGCTTTAATTGTGTTGATAACATCAAGCTGTGGAATGTAGTTAGAGAAATGGAAATCCCAGAGCATCTCATGGTCCACTATTCTGATAGTCAAAAATGCAAAGGATTTGCAAGAAACATGACAGTGAAAAAAATAGTACTAAAATTAAATATAAAGAAGACCAAACTAACAACAACTGGTAGAACAACTAGGATTGACAACGAAGATACTGAAGTGGAAGATAGCTTTTGTCTTTTAGGATCAACCATCCCAGAAAAGAAACAAGCAATAAAGAAAAATACTGCTGACAATTATTCCATACCGCAATCATGAAGGCCTTGGAAAAGATATTCAGATACCATGATGTGTTTATATCTACAAAAAAGAGAATTGTGCAAGCCACAGTATTCCTTATGACTGTTCTGCCTCAGCTACGGACCCCAAAGAACGCAGCACACACTAAGTCTGTACAAACCTTAGTTTACTAAATTAAATCAGTCTTTTTCAAACAAAGGCTGTTAATTAACTTTCTTAACAGCCTACAAGAATCCAAAGAATAATCGTAATCTTACTATGGTTGGCAGAAAGCCCAGAAGAAATTTGCAGAGAACTAAGATCAAGATCCGAAGGAGAGTAAACGAAATTGTTCCCTGCAAATTGCCTCAGTCGTCCTTCCTTAAATAGGCTAAGAGAGTGGCCAATTAGCCCCAAGCCTTACTCTCAAGGAGATCTCCTCCTGAGAAGCCACTCCTGTCTTTTGGCAGCTCTGTGTGCCCGTGCATCAAGAAGAGACTCCTGTTCTTCTTCCTCTTCACTTATGGGAGCTTCTGGAGGTTCTGAAGGCCCTGGCTGAATCACCACCTCTGGCACCACATCTTCTCCAGCCTCCTCATTGTCCGACTCGAGTGCCAGCTGCACAGGCTGCTGGCGCAGCATCACACCAGCCTCCTCGCTGTCGGAATCAGCTACTAGCTGCACAGGCCGCTGATGGGCCACAACAATGACACTCTATGCCGTGATAGCGACCTATGGCATGTGTGCCAAAGGTGGCAGGTGAAGCCATATCTGTAGGCATGCAAGCATTGCCCTAGCTCAGCTCCAGTGCTCATGCACATGCCAGCCAGCTGATTTTCGGGCCTTCCAGGCCTACCAGAAGTCAGGAAATGGGCTGTTTCTGGCCTCTGGAAGGCCTTGGAGGTGGGGGGAGGCCATTTTCACCCTCCCCAGGCTATTAGAAAGCCTCTGGAGCTTGCGAAGGGTGAAAAACGGGCCTTCCGGTCCCACCATGCCATCGCATGGTGCCAAAAGCGGGGTGAGCACGGGGTGCATTGAATTATGGGTGGGGGCACGTACACGCGCTAACCCCCACACGCTCCCCACACTTTTGGCACGCGATGGCAAAAAGGTTAGCCATCACTGCTTTATGGAATTGAAAGTTGGACTTTGAAAAAAACAGGATAGGAAGAATATTGAAGTTTTTTTAACTTGAATGCTGAAGGAGACTCTTGAGAATAACATATTGTAAGTCATCCAGAATCACTTGGTTGAGTTGGACAACTATAGAAATTGAATAAATAAATAAAAAAACATAAGAACAACATAGCATGAATTAGCATGAAACATGTTATCATGAACAATATGATAAGATGAAAATAAATAATAAATAAAATGAAAACAAATAAATCCTAGACCAAATCAATCCACTCAAGGCACAAATAACCAAGCTCATATACAGGTAGTCCTCAACTTAGAACAGTTCATTTAGCAACCACTGGAAGTTACAATGGCACTGAAAAAAGTGACTGACCATTTTTTAACTCTTCTGACCATGGTCACGTGATTTACATTCAGATGCTTGACAATTGACTCACATGTATGACAGTTGCAAAGTCCCTGAGTCATGTGATCCCCTTTTGCGACCTTCTGACAAGCAAAAGTCAATGGGGAAACTAGATTCACTTAACAACTGTGTTACTAATTTAAGAACTGCAGTGATTCACTTAACAAAGGTGGTGAGAAAAGTCGTAAAATGGGGCAAAACTCACTTAACAAATTTCTCATTTAACAACATAAATTTTGGGATCAATTGTGGTTGTAAGTTGAGGACTACCTGTATTTTGGATACATTACACAAAGACCTAATTCTCTGGAAAAGTTTGTAAGGCTGGGAAATGTAGAAGGAAAGAAGAGGATGACTAGCAGCCAGGTGGATTTGCTCAGTTATAGTGGCAATGCATGCACTGTTGGAAGATATGCAAGATCAGGTTAGGGACAGATCATCATGAAGAATATCTAGAGATAGTCCTCAACTTTTGACCAGTTGCTTAATGACGATTCAAACTTACAACAGCCTCTCAGAAAGGGTGCTTTACAGCTTTTAAAGCAATTCCAACTATCACAAAATACTACACCACCACCATCCCTAAGTCACATGATTGTAATCTGGCAACTTGTTAGCACTGACAACCAGTTGCCAAATGCTCAGTGATCAGGTGATTGCCATTTGCAATCTTCTCTGCCGGCTTCGCCAGAAAGTTTTCAGTTTGGCAAACCCCTCTCCTATTTGCAGCTACTTCACACTGTCCACATTTTCAATGAATCAGCCTAAACATTTGGGGGTGTTAGGAAATGTACATGTTTTTCAGTGAGTTCAGGAATTCAGTTCATTTATACCAGCTGAAGGTATAACTGTATATATTGTTTCCCATATCGAGCTATTGTTCCACTTACTGAAGTATTTAGAGACAGCTTTCTCTTTACTTGAGCGAATTACAAATATAAAATTGAATTTTAAGACTTTTTTTACAAACAAAAATTAGAAGTTACCTCAGGTTCTCAAATGTGATAATGCAGCCCATTTTATTAAGCAACAGACAGTTCCAATCAGAGATGTACCAATGCCCAACTATGAGCCTACCATCATTCTTACTTACTATGGACTCCTTCCCATTACAGGAAGAAAAACATAGCACTGGTATGCTCATGCTTCTGACATTACTTCTAAAATAATTACTTCCATACAGTTTAAGATACATTAATAATTTTGTTTATTCAGCATGAAATGGAGCTTAGTTATGTAGCATGAGGCTGTATATTCTGCGATATTTACATTTTTGATAAATTCAGTCAATGAATCCAAGCTCTGCAAGCTAAATAGAAAACCTCCATTTTGTTTGCAAATAATAATTTTTATAATGATATTATATTATAAAATAATATTATTTTATAATAATATTATAATAATAATAAAGATTCTAATAATAAAGATTCTAACTAGATTCTAAAGATTCTATGAGCAAGAATGAATCCTTACATTTAAAGAGCACCTGTCATTTCAGATCCATCAGGTTAGGGTTAGGGTTAGGGTCCAATCACCTGCTGCCTGCCACATCCCCCACATCCCTTGTTGTGTCACTGCCGCATCACCAGCCATCCCATTAAAGTGAATGGGACTGTCATTGAGTCAACAACAGATTAGAGGAGGAGCCGCCGCGAGAGAGAGATGACAGTTGCTCCTTAAAAATTATGATTTAAATCGAGTCGATTTAAATCAAGCCTTTTTACTGATTTAAATCACGATTTAAATCGACTTGATTTAAATCAAATCCACCCTGCTTCCATAAAAGAATACATGCATTTTCCTCAAGAGGAACACATGTAGAACTTTCAACGGTCCATAGCAGAAGTGCCGATTCTCTTTTTGCGCGTTAATTGAAACAGCAAGCTTTTATCAACATATTCTCACAACAATTTTTGTTCCTTTTGTAACATTCAAAATGGCAGAGATTCTTCAACAATTGTAAATCATATTCATGAAGCTCCTTTCAACCGTCACGCCTAATCTCTCTCCAGTCGCATTTTCATTGTTTAAAAAAATTAATGTAATATATCTCTAAATTTCCTTCTAATTTTCGACGTCTTAAAATATGCTCTAACCTGATCAAAGGCGGGGTAAATATAGTCAGCAAACTGGATTTCAGCGATAGCTGTAGCACCAGTGACTGCAACTCCAATGCCAAATCCCACAATTCCTTGTTCACATAAAGGAGTATTGAAAACTCTGTCTTTACCTATAAGAGATTTTTATTAATAACTTTTAAATGAATGTATATAAACCAGGAAAAAATATTTTAATACATGATATCTGATGGAATATAAAGGGCTTACACTGTTGTTTTTTTTTAATTAGCCTTTAATTAAAAGTAGAACTAAAAAATAGTGTTGAAAAGGCCCATTTTGCCCAGTATCTCCAATCCTCTTCTCTATAGAGGAATCAGAATTAAAACACTGGAGACAGATTGGAAGTCCATTACTTCTCTGGGTAATTGGCATCACCCCTAAACTGCTCTGTAGTCTCTCAACGCATTTTCTAGCATTCTGCTAAAATCTGTCCTCCTGTTACTCAAAATCTTTAGTCCATGTTATACACACTGGATTCCATGTACTTCAGGCATTTTAAGAGTGTGGTCATATTTCCCTTCAATGTTCTCCCATGGCTACCTATTCCCAGTTTGTTACTATACTTCTAACTTTCTAAATTTTCCTCAATAATCTATGCAATAGTAATATCAAGACTAGACCGCTCTAATTTATGTAAAACTATGCCTGTGCAGCGAGATTCCTCAGTAGAACTCCATACTACGCATGTATGAGCAATGTATCATTTACAAGATCTTAAACTTGACACCATACTATTTTCCATATAAGTTGTTATATTCTTCTGAGAACACCTCACATACTTCGGTGTCAACACCCATTATATGTAATGATCTCCCCACTTAGATCAGGTGAACTCCCAATCTAGGTTTGTAATTGTTTTCATCAATAATTAGAACATTTATCTATTATTTATTCAATCATTATCTATTTGCCAGGACATTTTCCCTAATTCATGTCAGTAACTGCTCTAAAGTTATATAAAATTATGGTTTTAACTAATGATCTCAATATTTAATTATTAAATTTAATTAATTATGTTTATTGTACAATAGTGAGACCTTTATCAAAATGAAAAAGTTTTATAAAAATAATAATGTAACATGAGATATGATGAATTATTAAATTGTGAACTTACCAAATTTATCTCTCAAGCCAACGGTACATCTGAAAACTCCACCAAAGGATACATCTTCACCAAATATTACTGTGTATATTAGAAATCAAGGAAATAGTTGTTCAGAAAGGAAACTGAATTGTTGAAATTGAAAGTCACCTTCATCTAACTTTTTTTTCTATCTACTGTACGTGCTTTTCTTTACATAACATTAATTTGATGAGTGATAAGAACCAAGACCTTTCTTAAACAATCCTGGAAATGACAAGGATTAGCCAATTTACACAAACCATGAAAGAAATGTCTTTCCATTAAAGCTGTACTTTTTCAACTTACTTTGTTTCCTAATTTTTAGTAACAAAGGCTATCTTCAATTTTTTTCCCAGCAAATAAAATTATATTAATTTAGCAGTATACAACACTGACATAAGCTTCAAATTTCAAACATAAATTTTACTTAGGAGCAAATTCAAAGCCTAGATAGAATTATTTTACCATCCAAAAATGATGAGGGAGAAAATATGCTGATTAAGCATCTTCAGAGTAACGTAATTGTGTTTGCCTTGTGTAGTAGTGAGTGAATTGTGTAGTAATTAGCATTATCAATTGAAGAGGCTAAGTAAAAGTTTCTCTTAAACAACAAAGCATAAAATTTTACCTGCAGTTGGATCTCTAGATAAGGCATTATCCAAGGCACTTGTTATAGACTGGAAAAGGTTCATTTTTTGTGTCTGGCCTGTGAAGAGATTATTTGGTTAAACAAGGCCGATTATTAAACTGATTGCTAAATAGCACCATATAAATTGCTAAATAGCATCATATAAAACACCAAGATCCATTTGGAAAGCTTTAAGACTTGTCAGAATCCAATATTCCCATCTGTTTTCCAATGTAGGTTTCACTAATGTATGTACTCAGTGATTGTGTTTATTCAATGAGTAACAATTTGAGCAAATAGAAGGGGAAATCCACAAATATCACCCTCTTGGTCGGTTAGCCAGTAAATAAAAGTTCTCCCAGATTAATTTTTTTTAAAGATCCTTTCCATTTGTTAAAAGATCTTGCTGGTTTACCTGCTGCCTACATTTACAAAATTATATTATAATTATGATTTAATCCTTTAATAGATATCTCAAGTTCCGTCAATCACAGAATTCTCATCTCCATGGCTTGGTTAGCACAAGAAGATTGGTCAAAGTTATGGTTTATACTTTAGTTAGGAGATGAAAGGGAATTTCCTCAGAACTAAGCAGCCCTCTGCAACACACAATCTTAACATGGAGGGACCAGTAATAGATTAAAGTCCCAGAACAGGAATTATGACATTTTAAAGGTGACCTCAATTAGTACATATCATATATATGTCTGGCACAAGATATTACTTTCACTCCTACCTAAAGTGGGCTTTTCAATATCACTCATGCTCTTTCCGTATTCAAAGGGACAATGAAAGGCAGATCTTTTGTCAAAATGAAACATCAACATGCCATGATGAGGACAGAAAATGAGGATAGAAGGGCACAAGAATATAGCTATCTGTATTTACAAAGGCAAACACTCTGCAGAAGGTGCTAGGCCTCAGCTATGAATGAGAAGTACACCTACAGGTGGTCCTCAATTTACAACAGTTCATTTAGTGACCATTTGAAGTTATATCATCACCAAAAAAAAGTGACTTAAGACCATTTTTCACACTTAACGACCGTTGCAACATCTCCATGGTCACCTGATTTACATTCGGATGCTTGACAACTGAGCCACATTTATGACGGTTGCAGTGTCCCGGAGAAACGTGATCCCCTTCTGACAAGCAAAGTCAATGGGGAAACCAGATTTATTTAACAACCGTGTTACTAATTTAACAGCTGCAGGGATTCACTTAACAACTGTGGGGAGAAAAGTCGTCAAATGGGGCAAAACTCAGTTAAGAAATTTCTCACTTAACGTAAACTAGTGGTGCTTGAGGACTACTACCTGCACTCTTCTATAAAATTCTTCACGGAAGTCCTTTATCCAGTGGTGGGATTCAAGTAATTTAACAACCGGTTCTCTGCCCTAATGATTTCTTCCAACAACCAGTTTGCCAAACTGCTCAGAAAGTTAACAACCGGTTCTCCCGAAGTGATGCGAACCGGCTGAATCCCACCACTGGCTTCATCTCTCCCTCTTTACTTTAAATAAGGGTAAGGGACAACCTGCATCATATCCAGGCACTTGGTAAATTGCCATCGCCTTTGGTGTATTGTCATCCCACACGATTTCCTAATCATAGCTCGTTGGTACTATATCCAATCAGTGGCTGCATCTACCCAAGTGGTGGAAACTTCGTTTTAGGCTGCAAGTGCTTTCCGACTCGCCTGCAGGACTTTTTTACAGGCACAAACCAAGACAGCGGGGTCGCCGTTTCCATAAGAGCCTGGCTTAGCCTATTGCGCCCCAAAGGCTTTCCAAAAAGCCAGCCTCCCGTTTGCAGAGATGCCACTTTCCCCATCCCACCATCTCAGCCAGCTGGTCGGGTGTGTGTGTGTGGGGCGGGGGGAACGGTCTCCCTCCGACTGACTCACTTCCCCTCCACTCGGCAAGGGACCGCAAAGAGGTCGGGAAGCAAGGGAGCTGCGTCCGATCCCTACGACGGTAGCCGTCGGACCCGGGGCCGACTAAAGCGCTCACCATATTGGGTGGGCTCCGGGTCCGGCTGGAAAGCGAAATGGGCCGCGCGCCTGCGGGGTGGAGACCCCGTAGCGAGACGGAGCCGAAGAGTGGAGACCGCCGCTCTCCGGAACCCGAGACCGGCGAGCGCCATCTCGACCACCGCGGGGGTCTTGTCCCTGGGACGAGCGCGAGCACGTTGCGGGGGAGGCGGGGACCCGCGCCTGCTCCTCTCATTGGGTAAGCGGCGCCGATGGTAAACAAACCAATCGGAGCCCTGCCAGCCGGGGCGGTGCGTGGTGTGTTTTTTTTTTTTTTTTTAAGGAGCGGGGCCTGCCTTTAAGAACGAGCTTTACGCGTGCGCAGAGGGCGAGCGTTGATACGCCCGATGGGGGTAAAACCCAGATGGTGAGAGAGGAGAGTGTTTGTGTGGAGCGTCTTGTATAGGGGTCAAGAGAATTTGTTGTAGATTTACACTTCGGGTTCTCGTTTGATAGGCAGTGGTTGCGCTAGTATAAGATCCTATAGGCGGCATGCTTTCCTTTGCCGGGAGACTACGGAAAAAGCAAGCCTCATACTCCGATGTTGTGGGGTTCGCACCGTGGTAGCAACGATGGTGGCTATCCAATCACCCTAGCCGAAAGGGAAGGCAAAATTGATCTTCACAAATTGTCTTGGTCTTAAAAGCACACACACAAAAAAGGGGGTGGGGTTTGATTTAATTGTACCGTGCATGGAAAAGATTTTTTCGAATACAAAGTAAGAGCCTGTAGTACAGTGGACTGAAGCACTGTTATTAACATCTGCTGCTTGCAGTTACTGCAAGTTCGAATCTCTCCAAGGCTCAAGGTTGACAAAACCTTCCATCCTTTCAAAGGTAGGTGAAATGAGGACCCAGATTGTGGGGGCAATAAGCAGACTTTGTATAAATATACAAAAGTATGAAGGCTATTGCTTAACGCATTGTAAGCCACCCTGAGTCTCTGGAGAAGGGCGGCATATCAAGTAAAGCCAAAAAAAAGAGTGAATCTTCCTCAGCGGTGCAAAAGATGTCAGACACTCGAGAAAACGGGGGTCCTGCTGAAAACCTGGATGGCCAAGTCATGGCTCGGTCAATTCGGTGAGCTGCGTTTGGGTTACTGCAATGTGTGGATTCACATTGCCATGATGCCAAGTATGTGTGTTGTGCAATATAATCCAGGCAATATGTCGGTGCAGATCTTAGACGCTGGCCCCATTTACTTGGCTATATATATTTTAATTGGAAAGTATATGGTGTACTTTAAAAAAACATTTTCCCATGACTAAGTTACCCATGGTTTACAACTGGGTTCACACTGCATATCAAGCCATAAACTAGTTACATATAGCAACATCTACAACAAACTGCAGTGATGCCAGAAATATATGTGCAATGTTGTCATGGGGCAAATGCCACCTTTACATATGGTACTTGTGGTCTGATATCTTACATAAATCACGGCATTTATATAAGAATGTCTTTTCTTCTCCCCCTTGTCCATGGGTTTGAACAATGCTCTAAATTAAAGCAGGGCATGGTTAATCTGCAAAGCATGTAATTGTTGGAGAAGTAAATAGAGTAATTATTAATTGCTACAGAGGCTGATAAGAATATATGCATAACACCTAGCCCAAAGTAATGTAGTAATTTTGGAAGATGGGGATCAAGATTGCATTATTGATTTAAAAAATCTAGATTAATTATCAAATTTCTACACTGCCCATCTCACCTGAGTGACTGGTTTATAAATAAAAACAATTAAAAACAAAGTTAAAAAATTAAGAGGGTAAAAATGTTAAAGAGTCAGAGGGAATGCACTCCAGGGACCAATCGCCTCCCCAAGGGTTGCATATCATTCCTAGACTTCCCATGCCAATTGGGAAGTCCACTCTTGTCCCAATCACATTGGGAAACATCTTGTCCCAATTACATTGATTCATCCCACTTGGGGCGGGTCAATGTAATTGACTAGATGGGATGTGTCAATGTAATTGGGACAAGATGGTTCCTCAGATAACCTAGACCCGTATCATAAAGGTAATAATCAACATCGTGACTGGCACTTAATGCAGTTCATGCAGCAAAGATGTTATATACACAACCCCAGGCGACTCAAAAGTGCTTATGTCACCACATTCTATACCGGTTGCAGTTCCCAGATACTCTTCAAGGATTGCCCCATGTAGAGCGTATTCCAATTATCCATACAGAAGATGGCGAGGGCATGAGTGAGCGAAAGAAGGGCTTCTTCTGAGAAGGGTGTAACTGGCACACAACGTGAAATTGAACAAAGGCCCTCTTAGCCATGATTGCCACCTTCTCCAGCAGGAGTTGTGAGTCCATGAGGACTCCAGATTACACATCAGGTTCATCTGGGCAGTACAACTCCATTCAAGAACAAAGATGGTAAGCCCACAGATACAGGAATGCCATTATTCTTCCATTGCAGGGATTATTTCTTGTGGTAAGATCACAGTCCAGACCACTTTTGTTATCCAGTGTTATTCCATAGTAAAGAAATATCTCAACTATTCGCTTCTCCATGCTATTTACCACTATATGAAACCTCCAGAAGAGATCATACATCAGCTTGCAGTGAGATATCAGCACACTTGATTCACTTTTCAATAATCCCCATATTGATATTAATATATTATAATAATAATAACTTTATTGTCATAGTACATGTATACCCATACAATGAAATTCACTTAACACCCAAAGACCAGGTCCAACATACATAACAATCCCCAAACACACTCCCACCCACCACAAATTCCCCACCCCTAAACCACCCAAACATCCACAAAACAGACCAAGTAATGCTATCCAACAGCTCACTGATGGTGGCCCTTTAGTTCATTGTTGAGTGCAATTATACCTACCCCGCAGAAATGAAGATAGAAGTTTACTTCAAGTCAAACAAAATGTTGAAGAGGAAAAGTGTGTATTGGATGATTATGTGAAAAAGACAGCTGAAAAACCATTTGCAAGTTAAACATTGGAACTGATTCATCTTTTCCTTCCTATACATTTAATACCAAAATAATATAATAAAAATACAAACAGAATACTGCATAGGAAAAGCCAGTATTTAGTCAATTTCTACAAAAGATTGAGGGGAAAGTTGATAAAAGATAAAACTTGGCAATGGCTTACAATTAGAGCCGTGATGGCGAACCTATGGCACACCTGCCACAGGTGGCATGCAGAGCCCTCTTTGCGGGCATGCCAGTTGTCTCCCCAGCCCAGTTCCACTGCCTTCTGCCAGCCAGCTGGTCTTTGGGTCTCTGCCATGCATGCATGTGGGGGGTACATGCAGGGGTACAGGTTGGTGCAGGAGGTTTTCCAGGCCCAAAATGGGGCACGGGCCCCCCATTTTGGGCCTGGAAAGCCTCCTGCACCAACCTGGAAGCCAAAATGGAGCATGGAGGACTGCACAAGCCCTCCCCCCCCGTGCCCATTTTGGACCTGGAAAGCCGCCTGCACCAACCTGGAAGCCGAAATGGGGCACAGGGGTGGGACACGTGTGTGGGATATACGCACATGCGGGGGTGGGGCACATGCACAGGGTGCTCGCATTGCATTTTGGGAGTTCTGGCACACACACATGCATTCACACGCGCACGCGTGTGCTTTGGGCACTCGGCACCAAAAAGGTTAACCATCACTGAACTAGAGCATTAAAAAGGGAAAAAACCCTGAAGGCTTGATTTTGGCTGCCCAAGAGCAAGCTATTCAAACTAAGGCAATCAAGGCAGAATTTAAAAAACAATCAAATGATTCAAAATGCGGATTGTGCAAAGAAGTAGAAGAAACAGTAAATCATATACTGAGCTCATGCAAGAAGCAAGTAAAAATATTGTTGGATTTCTGAAAATAAACTAATAACTTCTTGACTCATAACGCCAGATATAACTCAGGTTGAAAAGAAGAAATTGTGGATAACTGATGTGGCAATACCAGGGGATAGATGAATAAAAGACAAAGAATTGGGAAAGATCACAAACTATCAAAATCTAAAATTCAAAACTGAAAGATAATATAAAAGCCAGCTATTGGTTTCTTGGGCAGCGCTTAGAAAATCTGCGCATTGACAAAATTTCCATCTGTGAATTACAAAAGGCTAAACCGTTTGGATTTGCACATATACTGCACCGATATGTTACAACATTGTAGGTTCTTGGGAAGAACTCGTTACATAAGAAGGCTAACACCAGCTAAAGAACTGGAATCGCTGACTTCACATTTTTGTCAACAAATAGTGACAAGACTTCCCACTCAGTCGGTGCCCTGGGCACCAAGTAATCTTTGTTGCTGCAGGACACAAGAGGACACAAAAAAGCACCTTCCTCTAAAAAAGATTTAATACATTTCCCTTTACCCTCCAAAATAGATTTATTTCCCTCCTCTTCCAAAAAAAAAGGCTTGCTTAATATCTGGTAAACTGGATCACACATGGTTGCTGTTAACTTCATTTTAAAAAGTCAGTTTTTAAATTAATAATTACGGTAAGTTCAAAATACACGCTGAGAAGAAGGGGGATGAAATGAAAGAGAGGGGGCTATCTAAATGCATGTTGTAGACTACTTTTCTGCTTAATGTTTTTATTTCATTACAGTATCGCATACTAGAAAAAATAAAAATGCTTACAAAATATTGATTGCAATTATCTGTTATTCGTGATTAAGGAATTTATATGATAATCTGTGAGTACATATGTGTGTAGAGTCAGTATGGGGTAGTGGCTAAGACAACTGGCTAGAAACCAGGAGACTGCCAGTGCCAGTCCCATCTGAGGCACAAAGCCAGCTGGATGACCTTGGACCAGTCAGTCTCTTTCAACCTTAGAATGGAGAAAAGGCAAGCCACTTCTGAAAAATGCTGCCAACTTTTAAGCAAGCATGTTGAATACTGAATTATACTTTCTGGTTTCTCTACATTAAGTAAGAAATATGTGAACATGTAATATATTGCTCTTTGCATTGAATTTGCAATGTACTTGTATAGTCATATTGTTGTACATCTTTCAGAAAAGAATGTTTTTTTTTTTCCCCTGCATACAGCATGTCAGAAAATACGCAGAGCATTGCTCCCACCTGTTTTCACAACAATGCTTCTTGGCTCTCAAAGAGCTGTGTGTTTGGTATCTCTGCTCCTCGGATTTATGATGGGCTATTGCTATGGGTGTTATAGATATTGAGCAGATACATCCTTAGATTAATTGGGTTGGATTGCCTCCCTCAGCTTCTGGGAGGAACTTAGATGAGAGTGATGTTTATGCAATGTTGAAAATGTTATTCTTTCTTTCTTCATTATGGGACCCATTGATCACGGTCTCGATTTCTGTGATGTTAAATTCCTCCAGGTTTGAAGCTGGAAGCAGGCCAGCACCACTGAGGTGACACCAAAGGGATTACCCCTGTAAGGGGCACTGCACGAATGACTGTCGTATAGCATCATACAACATCATAATTCTGCTGTGTACACAAAATAATGCTGATGATAACTTGGAATGGAACAAACAGGTCTAACAATTTTAAGTATTAAAAAAAAGAGTATTGGCTTCAGGGAATCATTGCCAATGAAATAGATATCTTATGCTTTTCCCCCTCTTCTGAAGAATAGAATTGTGCAGGATCTAAAAATGTATCCAGCAACATCTTGGTATCGTTAAATGTCAAGGTAATAAACAAAAATAAAGGTGTGTGTCATTGTCTTTTTTCATAATGATTCTTTACAAATGTTGTTTTACAAAAAATGATCTTTTACAATGATTCTTTACAAAGTTATCTAGTCTAGAACTTTGAGATATCCTGTTGTTGTGTTTCCAGTCTCCCATCCAAGTACTAAATGTAAATTACTTTAGTATCAAGTAGTGAACAAAAATCTATCCATGACTCATGAACATACCTTTTCTTTTACACAGCCAGGTACAAATGACTCAAATTATCACATTTTGGATATGAGAAGTTCAAATTCCATTGAGAAATCCATAATGCTGAGAAAAGTGAAAGGAAGGAGAGTATGATGACAACCATCAGCATGGTGGATGAATTTAGCGCACTGTTTGAAAGATTTGAAGGACCAAACTGAAGAGAAATTATCCTGCACATTACTATGCGGTCCCTAAAATTCAACACTGACCTGATAGCAAATAATATTTAAACTAATAAGGCTCAAACGGTGCAGGTCTCTCTTTAACAGTTCAATTATTCCTTCCTCATTTCTTTATACCCAGTAGCTGAGATCTTAAAAGGATCGCTATTCTCAGGCTTAGTTGATTGCCAAAGGATTAAGATGCAACCAGCAATTATGTGGACTAGTAATTGACAGTTGTATAAAATGGGGCAATGCTATGCTAAAGTAGATTAGGGGGTTTGAAGTAATACCCAGAGTAAAAGATGCTTGGGAACAGAACACCATGTTTGAATTGCATGCAGATCATGTTTGAGGGTTCTTGAAATTTCTTCATAATGCCAGTTATAACCTTTGATCTCCAGTGACTTTCAGTGGCCTTTAATCCTGCCTCTGTCAAAAGGCTATCATTTGTCAGTGCCTTGCTAAGTCCTAGGTGAAGCAAGTCAAATGTAGGCTGTGTTGTGAAAACACAGATTCTCAATGAAAACATCAGAGGGAGTATGTTAATACTTAACTAATTGGTTGAAACACTATGCATTGATGAAGGAAGCTGCAGCTCATGAAAAAGTATGCATGTCTGTTAGTCAGAAAAGATGCTAGACAGGAGAGGAAAAGCTGCAGCTCAGACAATTTTGATTTGTTAGGATTCAGAATGAAAATTTGTCCTAAGGAGGACAGGTAGCAAAAGCCTCTCAGAACGTATCCTCCCTAGATTTTGGGAGAGTAAAAGTAAGGAACTTTCAGACTTGCAAGATTCTGTTAATATAACCTTGCAGTAAAGATAGAGCTAATACTAGTTGTGCTTATCTGGAATGCTAGATGTAACGCTAATACTTCCTGACTCATACATATAATTACAAGTCTCTATAATTTTATACAGTTTATAAACTCAGTGTGATATCTTCTCTTCAGCATTGCTTGACTCTTAAAATCCCTTGCCCCTTTCAATAAGAACCTGGCCTGAAAGTGAATTAGCCTCACAAGTCAGTGTGGATTCTTGATATATTGTTTCTGATATTACAAACTATCTAGATGAGTTACCTCAAAAATAAATTCCACTTTATCTAAGCCTAAGGTGTCCTCAAGAAGTCAGCTTAATATTGCAGCCTTTTTATGAGATCAGTCCAAGTCATATAAAAAGGCTGACAAGATTTCTTTGGATCTCTTTCGAAATAATTTCAGGCTACTTTGAAATTTAGTAATGGTTGCAGAGAAGCTTTAATGCAAATTGCAGATTTGGTTTGGAAAATTGATTCAGCTTGATTATTTAAACCCATTTAGAAAATCAATATGAATTGCCAAATTGGATCAACTTAGTCTGGATTTCCAAAAGAAAAGCCTGTTTCTACATATGACTAGTAAAAAAGTTCAAAAGTATCATATCTCTTTGATCCAACATTTTGGTTTGAATTTGTTTTCAGAATATCAAGTCTATTTGTGGAATTTATCAAACTGTTTTCACATTAAATTTCTAAATTGAAGCATTGTAAATTCTTAAAATATGAAAGCATTCTCAGCTTCAAAGTGATGCAGAATAAATACATATGTTTTAATATGTTACATAAATGGCAACCATTAAAATACTGACCTACCTGCAATGATGAAAGCTACTTGTCCTGTTTCAGACTGAGTAATTTCATAGTAGCAAGATACAACTGATTTAATGATGGGATTGAAATTCAAACAACTAAGAAGGCAAACAGAATGATCAGCTCTGCCATCACATATGAGTTCCAGAAAAAACACAGTGAAGATGATCAGGTAGTCAGGGGAAAAAGTCAGGAGGGCTAATACCAGTTGCAGCCAGAAGTTCCAAAAGGCAACTGGACTTCCTTGCGGGGTTTTCTTTGAGAAAGTTTCATTTCTTATCCTTTGCTTCTAAGATTCTTGGATAAGAATGCCAGTCAAATGCCTGAGGATTTTTTTTCCATATTCCTTTTTAAAAATATATATATATATTCTTATAACAGTGTAATTACTTGCTTAGCTCATTGCAGTAATAGCTTACTAAGGCCTTAGATTAGCTTTGCAAATTGGATACATCAAGGTTTAATCAACATGTCATGGTTAAATAAATCATCACTTATTCACTGCCAATAGAGCCCTGTTTGTATTTACACCAATGAATGAATAGTTGCAGAAAGTTACAAGGGGTTCTAACCACACAGGAAAACTATCGTCGTTCCTATTACATCAAAGTTGAGAAAACTTTGATGTTATTGTTCTGAATACAGACAGAATTCCATCTGTGATTGTTGTTGAGAGTGTGGTTGCGCAATAGCTCCCACAGTACCTGAATGAAACTGTCTATCTAGACCCGTGCCAGTCCGGCTTCAGGTCTGGGTACAGCACGAAAACGGCATTGGTCGTGTTGATTGATGATCTCTGGAGGGCTCGGGACAGGGGTTGCTCCTCTGTTCTGGTCCTATTAGATCTCTCAGTGGCTTTTGATACCATCGACCATGGTATCATGCTGCACCAGCTGGAGGGATTGGCGGTGGGAGGCACCATGTTGCAGTGGTTCTCCTCCTATCTCTCCAACCGGTCGCAGTCTGTGTTGGCAGGGGGGCAGAGGTCAACCTCGAGGCGCCTTGTTTGTGGGGTACCACAGGGGTCGGTCCTCTTGCCATTCCTGTTCAACATTTATGTGAAGCCGCTGGGTGAGATCATCCGTGGATTTGGAGTGCGATGCCATCTGTACACTGATGATACTCAGCTGTACATCTCCACCCCAAACCACCACAACGATGCCCTTGAAGTGATGTCCCAGTGTCTGGAGGCCGTGCGGGTCTGGATGGGAAGGAACAGGCTTTGACTCAACCCTTCCAAGACCGAGTGGCTGTGGATGCCGGCATCCCGATATAGCCAGCTGGTGCCATCGCTGGCTATTGGGGGCAAGTCATTGACCCCCACAGAGGGGGCTCGCAACTTGGGCGTCTTCCTGGACACACGGCTGTCTTTAGAAGAGCATATGACGGCCGTGGCCAGGGGGGCTTTTTATCAGGTTCGCCTGATACACCAGTTGCGCCCCTTTCTGAGTCGGGATTCCTTATGCACAGTCACTCATGCTCTCGTCACTTCTCGCCTGGACTACGCCAACGCTCTCTACATGGGGCTCCCCTTGAGGAGCACCCGGAGGCTCCAACTGGTCCAGAATGCGGCCGCACGGGTGATTACGGGAGCGACATGGTGCTCCCATATAACACCTCTCCTGCGCGAGCTGCACTGGCTCCCGGTGGTCTTCCAGGTGCGCTTCAAGGTGTTGTTCTCACCTTTAAAGCACTTCATGGCTTTGGGCCAGGGTATTTACAAGACCGCCTTCTGCTACCGATAACCTCCCACCGGCCAATATGCTCTCACAGAGAGGGCCTCCTCAGGGTACCGTCGGTCAAGCAATGTCGGCTGGCGGCCCCCAGGGGAAGAGCCTTCTCTGTGGGAGCACCCGCCCTCTGGAATGAGCTACCTCCCGGAATACGGCTGATTCCGGATCTCCGCACTTTCCGTAAGGCCCTGAAGACTTTTTTATTTCAGCAAGCCGGCCTGGCCTGAATAGATTTTATGGGTTAGTTTTTTAATTGTATAGCTAGGGGTTTTAAATTGGGGTGGCCGTTTAATTTAATTTATTTTTAATTATCTTAACTTTTATATTGTATGTTATTTTAATTCTTGGCTGTTCACCACCCTGAGACCCTTTGGGGAGAAGGGCGGGATATAAATTTAATAAATAAATAAAATAAAATAAATATGCATTAAAAAACGATGGCTATAGACTGCCTTTCAAATAAATTTACCATATTTTTCAGAGTATAAGATACACTTTTTCCCCCCAAAAGAGGGGGAAAATTTGGGTGCGTCTTATACACCAAGTAGCCCCGCCCGCCCGCCCCCACCCTTTGGCCTCTGCCTCCCAACAATTTGCCTCCTTACAGCAAAAGCCCGTTTCAGTTTCAGCACTGCCTGATTAGCATAAGCTGATTGTCAGTTGGATCGGCTTCCCAACCATCAGCTGTTTCAGGCTGCAGGGATTGCCATTGCCTATTGCCACCTCCACGCGCCCCATTTTCGGCCTCCGCTGTTTTCTGTTTGCTCCAAGGAGGCAAACTGCTGGCAGGCAGAGGCAGATTTTTTTTTTCTTGTGCTAATCAGGCTGTGATGAAAATGAAACTGAAACAGGCTGTTTGCTGTTTGCTGCAAGGAGATAAATTGCTGGGAGGCAGAGGCACAGGCAGATTTTTTTTTCTTGTTTTCCTCCCCCCAAAAAGTAGGTGCGTCTTATAGTCCAGAGCGTCTTATACTCCGGAAAAATACGGTAAAGATGATGTTGTCTCCTTTCATAGGGAGAGGGAGGCAAGAAAATCACAATTGTAACACTGAAATTAAGAGTAATTGAAGCATGGGAGGAAGGAAGAAAAGAGTAGAACCACAGGTAGTCCTCACCTTACGACCAATCGTTTACCAACTGTTCAAAGTTACAACAGACCCACCAAAGGTATTTATGACCCAGTTCTGAGGTTACAATGGCTCCCCTTCTCCTTGTGGTCTCTTGATCACATTTTGCAGCATACT